CGCGTCATCCATCGATTCAGACACCGCTCTTCGATCTCTCTCTGACCAGCGTGTTTCCGTCTTGGAGGCTCAGGTCGAGAGAGCCAACGAGCTGGCTAAGTCTAGCCAAACAGCTGCGAATGAGGCGGCTGAAAAGCTTCGTCGTGCAGAGGAGCGGATTGCTGGACTGGAGGCATACCAGGAGCAGGCTAGCCGAGAAGGCCTACAGCTGCGCAGGCAACTTCAGGCCGCCATGAAAGAAAGCCAAACCCATGCCGCTGACAATCGCGAGTTGAAAGCGCAATTGGAGAACCAACATCGCGAGGCTGGTGCGCTAGCTGTGCAACATGCCGCTCTGAAAGATCTTCTTGGTGAGCGGGGTGTTTCGTACTCTGATAGCCGTCGCTCGCCTCACCTGGAATCCCCTGGATCTCGTTTCGGTACCCCTGAGGCAGGTCGACTTCGCGAACTGGAACAGCAGCTTTCAGCTAGCATGAAAGCCCACGAGGAATTGAAGTCTTCCTTCGAGTCTCGTGAGCAGGAGGCCGACCGCACGTATAGGGAGAAGTTGGAGCAGCTCGAGAATGATTACCAGTCTGCCGTCCATTATGTCAAGGGCACGGAGAAGATGCTGAAGCGCATGAAAGATGAACTCGCCAGGTACAAGTCCCAAAATGCCAAGCTTCAATCCGAATTAGACGAGGCACAGTCCGCCCTAGCCGAAGCCTCAAGTGGACCGTCAGAAGCCCCAGCAGCCGAGTGGGAGGCCGAGCGAACCAGGCTTGAGAAATCGATCTCAGACCTTGAGCAGGAATCATCTGCTTCGATTGCCAACTTGGAGGAGCAGGTCAAGAGGCTCCGGGACGAACTTGCTACCCTCGAGGCGGATAAGACCAGATCTCAATCCGAGCTCGAGCACGTGCAACAGGAGCTTGCAGCAGCAGCTGAACGGAGTCGTGCAGAGCTGGAACAGCTCAAGAGTGAGAACGCTCTGCTTGAAAACCGGGCGTCTGATGCTGAGCAGAAAGTCACCATGCTTCTCGATCAGGTTGAGGCGTCTGTCGGTCAATTCCGTCGCCAATCGCAGCCTGTGCAAATGAATGGCATTTCGCGCACCCACAGCAATGCCTCAAGCAACACCATCGGTGCTGCAAGCCGACGATCCCGTGCCGACAGCGCTGTGTCGCAAGAGGATGCTTTCCCGGACAACCGTAACTCAATGGCCTTGGATTCGTTGGCGAATGAACTGGAAGCTTTGCGTAGCCACTGGGAGAGCACAAACCGCAATTACCGGCTAAGCACGCAGTCCGATTTCGATCGTACCCCAACGAAGGAGACGGGATTGAGTGACAGTCTAGCTGAATGGAGACGGCGTTTGGATGAAGACGAAGCCAGAGCAAGCTCTCCCGAAAAGATCCAACCTCGAAACGCCGCAGCACATCACGCCACAGCGAACATGATCTAAGGAGGCAGGGTGACATCACTTGTCTTTCGCTTGTCGAAAGTCAGGCTGCGGTTCTCCATAAAACTCCGAAAAGTTTCGCTGCTGGGTCTAGTCATTGGTCGCCGCACTTGGTCAGATGACCATTTGGGCAGTTACCATCTTCTGCTCATATGTTGACACTTGTGGCCCGGTTGCCATCAAGCTGCCGAAAGGCTTCAGGAATTGTGTCTCCGGCTTTCTCAAGCCAACTTGTTTCTCCTTCGCCTCAATCCCATGCCCCTACCTCCTTTCGTACATTGACCCATTTTCCTTGCCCTTCGTTCGCGTTTTTTCGTTTATACCCCTTCATATTCTAGTTCCATACTTGGACTGTACTATTACCTCTTGTTAATTCTTAACGAAGCCTCTGTCCGATATGTACGAAAGACTATGTAGTCTAGACTCAATGCAAGTAACTGTAATTGCCCTGATTTCTTTCTCTTTGTCTGTTCGCCATCCGTAGGCGCCAGACCTGATGTTCCTTCATAGCAGACATATTCGCAAAGCAAAGGCTGTGTCAGCTTGCATGCCTTAGGCCCCAACGTCATGGCTAGGAAATACCAGGATATAGTTCACTTTGGCCTCCGCCTCACTATGCCACTTGTCTCACTACCACTTGACAGTAGCATCCACTCTGGTGGAGTTTTAGTATGTAGGGAAGAACCGAAGGTATAGTGTCAGCTCGACATTGGTCGGCTCTGTAAGTGCCATCAGGCCTTGTAAGTCGGTGTTGTATAATTTATATTCCACCACGGAAGGTCTTCGGACTTGGTATAAAATGTCTTGATTACTTGGGTGTCAATGTAACCAAAATGAAAAAATCATATAGTCAGTTGCAAGTGTGGTGAAGTAGATATACAGTTGTGGGAAGAGTATGGGTACGTGTTGTTTGTCCACACAACATATGACGGAGATCTGTAGCCGTGACCTGGCTGTCTGGCTGTGTCCCGTGCTCGGCCCTATATATATACAGCCGCTGGAGGTAAGTAACACCAAAGTATTGGCAAACCAGCCGAAAGAGCCGCGACCCATTGCTACTACCACTGACTGTCATAGGTTAAATAAGTATTGAGGACTTGTTTGCCAGCGTTATTTGCATCTCCAGTGTTTTCGTTTTGAGTATGATTTGCTTCTTGAGGGAATTGACTCGTGGCAAACCCAACGCATTGGGTTAACCTGTTAGGCTTATTCGATTTCAATACCAAAAAAAATACAAGATCTACCTACGGAGTACGCAGTCGGGAGTAGGTGTAGAAACAACCTTAACTCCAGCACGGGTCGAAGCCAGCTTTTTGCGATAGTTCATATTTTGAATTCCTAATGTATCTATCTGGCAAATTGATCTGTGTGTGATCAATCATATTTTTGATTACTGGACTGTATAGACTATACTTCCTAACTAAAACCCCTCACGATCGATAGTTTGTGATCTATCACCTCCCCCCGGCTCGTTTTTCTCCATCTGTATCCGTACCTGGAAACCCAAAAAACAAGGGTGTGTGGGGGGTGCGTGAGGAGTGGGTGGGTGGGTGTGGGTTGTGGGCAAGGCATGAGTGCAATAAAAGTCTCGATCTCAAAGCTACCTAGACCCAGCCAGCCTGTCAATTAATTGATTGATCTGATTGTCACCGATAAGGCGCGCGCGTGTGTGTACTACTTAGGTATGTCATGGCCTGTGGGTGGGTGTGGTGTGGGTGTTTCTGCCCAAAACGAGGGCGGTAATTTTAATTATTACATGTAAGTTGGTACTGTAAGATACCGTGGACTGCATTGTACGAGGTCATCTGCCAGGTCAATGGGTCACCGCCCGGGGTTTTATTGGTGGGAATGAAGGGACTGGACTGATGGCGATGATGATGGCGATGATGATGGCGATGATGAGGATGATGATGTTCGGGGTTGAGGTAATTAAATTCTGTGCTGAGCATACATAGCCTTGGTTTTAGTCGCCAGGTTGCTACCTGAAAGAGGGCCGGGTGTAAGAGCTTTTAAGTGAGGTGCAGTGGATTGGCAGGACAGGGCTGCCCTGCTTGGTTTTAGTATGGGTTCGCGGTGTACGGACGGAGACGTACGTAGTGTACTGTACAGTGCTGGTTGCGGCCAAATTATCTGGACAAAAAGCAACAGTATCTTGACTGATTGTAGATATTGACGGTGGGTTTGAACTTTGGTGAGTAGCAGGGGGTTAGATCATCGACCAAATATCTATATAGTTATAATGATGAGGTATTTCCTTCCTTCCTTCAAACCGCGGGGAAGGCGCGCGGCGGCGACGGAAAATACAAGACGTACGGTTATCCGCCACAACCGGCACATCCTTACGTTACCGACTGGATGATTGATGATCGATGGACTGATTGACTTCTCGCCACTGAGCTAAATGACATTCTAGAAGATTAATGCAGATTTGTTGTTAAGATTTTTTTTTTTCTCGCGTTAGTCCCTTGGGTCTGAGGCATCCCCCCAAAAGTCACATCACCCTGGAGATGGCTTGCTTGAAATCCCTCCATGTGTATAGTGATTCCTCCCTCTATCGAGGACCAAAACAACTTCCCCCTGCATGAGACAGTTAGGAGGCGTCAAGACCTAAATCTTGTTGAACTGTCAGCCTACTTGCCCGCCTCTTCTGCCTGCTTTCCTGGTTTTGATTGAAGGGCAATTGGGTCGCGACTGCCACCAGGCTAGAAGGACAAGAATTGATGACTGTCAGAAGTTGGCCACCCGTTGGCAGAGGGGAGATGTGCAATTTGTTCTTCACCGACTCCTCCTCTCAGCCACGCTTCAATTGGGAGAACGAGTCGTAGACTTCAATGGTGATTGAATTTGCTTTGTGTTCGGGTGTTTTCCATTCACTACCATAGGTTAGTTTGACTTTAGATGTCTTGTCCTCAAGCACAAGGTCCGATGACTATAGACTGGAGCTAACTACTATGTACTCGTATACTGGGGTACTTTATACTTACCCAAAATTACCATCTCGTATCTTTGCGTATTCACCCAAAGGTGAAGTCAGAGCCAGACCGGGGCCAACCCAACGCAACCAACCACTGCATTTGCTTGGGGTCTGGTCTCTGCTTGGTGCTAAACTTATCACTCAATTCCCTCTCTCTCTTACTGTACTCTCTCTTACCCGCCTCCCACCCCCCCCCTCCTCCTCCTCTACTCGATTTGACCTGCTTTCATTTTCCTCTTCCCACCCACCACCTCCTCTCCTCCTTCCCTTCGCCTCCTCTTTCCTCCTCTTCTTCTTCAAACCACCTTTCCCTTGTCAAGGCTTGGTCCTTGAATGAATATTGGCTGATATTGCTGCCTTCATTTCCTTCGTGTTTTCTCCCTCTATCTTCGTCGTAGCGTCGTTGTCCGTCTCGTTGCTCTCTTTCTTTTTCCGTCCACCGTCCACGTCGACCCGTTCCCGTGTTCGCCCGTTCGAAAAGGCCCATCGCCTCAGCTCCCCTTTCTCTTCCTCTCCGCCTTTTTTCGCCTATCCGCTCGGTTTCTCACGGTCGGCTTCCCCTCAATCATCCACCTCCCTCCCTCATCTCATCTTACTTTTGTAAGATCTCTGGTCTATACCTGGTAAGCCTTCAATCGTCCTCCCCAAGTACTTTCCCTCACCGTGTCACGTCTGCGTTTTTACTGCTTCTTTGTTTGGGGGCCGTTGTCAGCCTTCCCCACCCCATTTGCCTGCTCCACGTCCGTCCTATTCACTATCTAAACGCCCATCTGCATGCTGTGTTTGCTTGAACATCCTTTACAACACATTCTATTCCTTCCTTTCACACTATCATTCAATTGTGTCTATTGTCTTATCTGCAACGTTATCAACTGCCTTCGTCCTCGCCTCGACCGGGTTGTGGCTAATCGTTGAGTTTTCCTAGCACAGTTCGTCAAGAGATCGATCACAGCCGGTTGCTGTGACTACACTTGATCAGAATGACGACTATGGTGAGTAATCTCCGCACGCCTCCGCCCAGTATGGCCTTCGCTAACGACACATAAAGGATTTGCGTGTCGGTAACAAATACCGCATTGGCCGCAAGATCGGCAGCGGTAGTTTCGGTGATATCTACCTTGGTATGTGATCGATCCAGGATCAAATATCTTCTCGAGAACATGGAATTGACTGTCTTCTAGGCACCAACATTATTTCCGGCGAGGAGATCGCTATCAAGCTCGAAAGTGTCAAGGCCAAGCACCCCCAGCTCGAATACGAGGCCCGTGTCTACAAGTCTCTGGCCGGTGGTGTCGGTATTCCTTTCGTGCGTTGGTTCGGTACCGAGTGTGACTACAATGCTATGGTCATCGACCTGCTCGGTCCCAGTCTAGAGGACCTTTTCAACTTCTGCAACCGCAAGTTCTCGCTGAAGACGGTGCTCCTTCTCGCCGACCAGCTCATCTCTCGTATCGAGTACATCCACGCCAAGTCTTTCATCCACCGTGATATCAAGCCCGACAACTTTCTCATGGGTATCGGCAAGCGTGGTAACCAGGTCAACGTGATCGATTTTGGTCTGGCCAAGAAGTACCGCGACCCGAAGACTCACTTCCACATTCCCTACCGCGAGAACAAGAACCTCACCGGAACTGCTCGTTACGCCAGTATCAACACTCACTTGGGTGTCGAGCAGTCCCGCCGTGATGACATGGAGTCTCTCGGCTATGTCATGCTTTACTTCTGCCGTGGTACTCTGCCCTGGCAGGGCCTGAAGGCTGCTACCAAGAAGCAGAAGTACGACCGTATCATGGAGAAGAAGATGACTACCCCTACCGAGGTTCTGTGCCGTGGTTTCCCCAACGAGTTCTCCATCTACCTCAACTACACTCGTTCCCTGCGTTTCGATGACAAACCGGATTACTCATACCTCCGCAAGATCTTCCGCGACCTTTTCGTTCGCGAGTCCTTCCAGTATGACTACGTCTTCGATTGGACCGTCTACAAGTATCAGAAGAATGCCGCCATGATCGTGGACGCCAACAAGAAGGACAAGGAGGCCGAGGAGCAGCAGCGCCGCCAGGGTGTTGCTGCTGCTGCACCCATGGGTACTCCGGGTGCTGCCGCCGCCAAGCCTGGTGCTATCTCTAGCCAGCGCCGCAAGGTCATCGAACGTGGAACTCTTGACAACACCCCGGACACCAACCGTGCTGTCGGAGGGAGTGACAGGATGTGAGTATCTGAAACCTAGGTTCCGTTGTAGGGAACCCCTTTCCTCTGCGTTTGGTGCTTTGCTATGACCTTGCACGTAGAGGTCGACTTGAATTCTGGAATCTGACTAATCTCATAGTCTTCGGCGTTAGGCTGCGTTCTGCTTCAAGGGTTGCTGCTTCAGGTGCTTTTGCCGCCCGTAGCCGTACGAAGCAGGACGATGGGTACGGTGCTCAGTGGTACTAATCTGTGCGACCTAGCAGTGTAGCTTGATCTTTTCTCTCGGGATTCCGTTCAGCTTCCTGCGTGTTGACACTGTTCTATATCTATCCTGAAGAGCCCGGGCTTATCGACGATACTGGTGACCTTTTGCAGCCTGCAGTCAACCTTTCGGACTTACTCGCCAGGGGGTGTTCCCTTTACCAATCTTTCTTTACTACTTTCCTTACTGCATTCTCTGTTGGCCCTTACCCGTTTAAGATCGTCTTCCGGTTCGCCGCTTCGATCCGTCACGTTTTGTTGATCGGCTGTCTCAGGTCCTTCCGTGGAAAAAGTGCTGTTCTTCGCGTTCGAAGAACGAGATACAATTCATAGATGGAGGGCCCTGGATGGCAGACTGAAAACGTTCTAATTGTGGCTATTTTACGTCTCACCATCTCGGTCCTCATGGTTACTCCTCCGATCATCGTTCAGCCTGTGAAGACTACATCCAGTGACCGGGATGGCTTGACCGAAGGAGATTGCAAGAACGAAACAACCTGTTTTCAAGCACAACAAATTGTATCCGAGACTAGCCGCTGTTGCCCGACAATCTCTTCCGGCCTCTCGGACTGTTCTGCCTTACAGTTCCCCTTCTATATCGATTGCGTGCTTTTTGTCATCCGTGATTTTATTTCTTTGTGTTCTCAGACTGTCATAATGTTGTTATTGACGCATCAGTGGGGACGTGAAAGTTCAGGGGAAGGGTATGTGCATGGTGAAGAAGATGGCTGTTTCTTTGGTGGTCCTCCCGCTTTCGTGCTATGTTTTTTCGGTCATGCAGTGTGGGTCTTAGACTTGACGGCTGACTAGAGCCAGCATACAGAGCTTCGGGCAGCCAGGGGAGGAGCACGTCTCGGCATCTGGGTATTACGGCGACGGAAAATGGTTAGGGTCGCTTCCGGGGTGGTTTCTGCGTCGATTCACGTTGTTTCACTGATGATGTTTCATGTTGCTCTGCGTTCTATTTAAACCTCATTCAATCACATCACATATCACCAGGGACAGTTGGAGGAGGGCTGCTGCACGTTGCGGACGGGCTTGACAATGTTCGGGCATTAGCATGCTCGGGTCACGTCGGCAGCTCCAGCCTCGCCTCTAATCCTCGAATCCCACAGATTGTTATTCTTGAGCAATTGGTATCCCTTCTTTCATAGAATCGTCGTATTTTGTCGGGTTTCCGGTCCCTCCTATAGTAATTGAAGTTGTTATATTGTGCCAGATAGGGAAGGAGGGATAAGACTGACGGTGCCAGGCGGTCATGGCGGTGGCCCGATCCAGCCAATGACAGCCGACGAGGGGGGGGAAGAGGGAGGGGAGCGCGTGATCGGCCCTCGGGCCTCTGAGCCGTCCCTCAAAGTTCCAACCTTGATGTTGCCTCCAGGCTTTCAACCTTCAATCAATCCTTTCCTTCAATTGGTTTGGTGGCATTTGATGGCTCTGCCCACATCCAGTCTAGACTGTCTTAGGTAAGGTAGTACTCAATAGGTAAGCCCCCTCCGTGGGTGTCCGTGGACCAGACCCCGTTCTTCATCGATTCCATCCACCATCTCCGTTCCATCTCTTATCCCGACTCTCCTCGATCATTCTTGGCGTCAGCCTTTCCTATCCCGTCGGATCCTCAATTATTGATCAGCATTTCTCAGCAATCACAAGGATCCCGACGGGTTCCACTGGAGGAGAGATGGATTATTCCTTCTATTCTACTCCCAACCCGCAGCAGCAGCAGCAGCCTTATCCACTATACAACCTACACGGGCTACCCACCCCGGACCAGGTGCCTCGTGCTGAAGATGCCCAGGGCACTTTTCCTCATCTTGTTCGCAGCCTCTGCCCCCGTTCACCGTTTGAGACGCAGTGACCTAACCGAGTTGTTTTCATCAGGGATCACATAATTACCAGCCCTTCGATCCGAGTTTACGCTTTACGGATGCTAATGGCATTCCTTCTTTTGTCCCTCCCCCGCATTCGCCGCCCGAATCCTTGACCAAGCAATCGGTGTCCAGCAGCGATGTCGCCAACCCTCACTTCGACCGAGCTTCCCTGGAGGCCGATGATTTTCCTATCGACTTCAACCCGGGCCGAAGTAGCAGCGAGGAGAAGGATAGCGTGACACCAGCACAGTCTAAGCGGAAGGCACAGAATAGAGCTGCGTATGTGAATCCCTACTTCGTTGGGCCTTGGTTGCCTTGCGGGGTGTTTCCACTTGGAGGGGGCTCTACCCGCTGACTGATGGTTTGCTGTTTTATAGTCAGCGCGCATTTCGCGAACGCAAGGAACGGCATGTGCGCGAGCTTGAGAAGAAAGTCAACAATCTAGAGCAGGAATCCAACACCCTGATGGCGGACAACGAGCGACTCAAGCGCGAGCTAGCCAGATTCACCACGGAAAATGAGATCCTCAAGGCGACGTCCGGCTCGTTCCGGCCGCCTAATCAGCAATCTATGGGTTCGGAACCGACGACGACTGGACCGCTGCAATATTCACCCACCGATTTCAACCCGGGCTCCGACTCCACGGGCGAGCTTCCGCCGCGCCACAGAGTGACCACCTGCCAGGTCACAGGTGAGCGGCTCCTGGACGCCGGAGCCACTTGGGAATATATCCAAGAACATGAGCTTTTCAAGCGAGGGTCGCTGAACATTGCAGACGTCTACCAACGGCTCAAGGGCGCGGCTCAGTGTGACGGCACGGGTCCGGCCTTCCGCGAGAGTGAGGTGCGCAAGGCCATCGAGAAGAGCTCTGCCGCATGCAGTGACGAGTTGATATGATATCCCTGTTTTCTAGCGTATACTTCTTTCTCTCTCTCGCTCCTTTTACTTTATACACCCATCTACTTGCGAGTTTGATTTCTGGATGTTCATGATAAGTTTGGCGTTCTGCTTGGTATATGATGGGACGTCCGATTGAACGCATCACTAACACACTTACACGAGCACTGATCGACAGCGTTCGTGCTCTCAAAAGACGTGGGCGACCTCATTTGTTCGACCTTCCTTGGCGTTGAAAAGGAGACTATCGGAGGGTTGCAGCGGTGTCGTGGTCACTTGAATCGCGAAATATACATACTTGTTGAAATTTAGGCCATTCTTACTACAATTGGAAACATAGGCCTTCATTTTGTTCACCTACCATGAGCTTTTTCAGTCTGCAATGTTGCTTATAAATCATGGTCAGTGACCGCATTTGAGGGTTTTATTTAAGATAACTTCCTTAGTCATCTTATCGTCTTGTTCTTGACATAGCTCAAGTTTGAGATTAAAGAGCCAGGTCGGCATTTCCATGGTAGGAAAGCTGAATCTAGTCTGCGGACGGCAAGAGCCCAACGCTCAAAGCTGAAAGCTTTCCATTCTCCCGAGCCCAGCTCCGGACGTGCGATATGGATGCTACATTGGTCCATCTCATCAATAGGACTGCCGCCTCGATAACTGAGGATGTATCCATCCGCCAAGTGTGCGAATTGTTCGTGAGCCGCATCGTTGCCGACTTCAACAATCTGCCCATCTCGATTGAGACGAAAGCGTAAGTCACTCGCTACCGCGACGCAGCGCTTAATCCCAATCGTCATCATCGTCCTGGACCATGGGCCGGATGGACTTATTCTTAGCCATAGCCGGACGTTCATCGTCCGATGAGTCCGACCGCTTCTTCAGGCGAACGTCACTCTCCTTGAGAGCGCCTAGATCCAGGAGCAGTCTCTCGATGTCTGTACGCCCGCGCGGTTAGTGGCGCCTGCGAATAGAAAGATAGAATAAATCAGGACAGTAGTAAAACCTCCTCTCTTACCTTCTACAGTCGTGCGCGGACCCTTGAGTTCCCGCAAGGTCACCAGTTGTCTCTTGATTTCGGTGTTCCGATAGACCAGGATCGTGGGCGTGTTGCGCTCGGGATAGCCCTCGATGCACATGTTGGCCCGGATCTCGCAGAACTTGATATCTCCGTACTTGGCCGCCAGGGTCCGCCAGAGTTCCGTCAACCGTTGTGACTCGACGTTGCCGCCGGTCGAGGAGCTGAGATGGACCAAGACAAAGCAGCTGTTCGAGGCCTCCGTGACCTCGCGGGCGTAGTCGACCTTCTGGAGCGGGTAGACTTGGTTGTGGACGCTCGTTTGCTGCAGCGTAGATAGCTCGGCTAGTCGCTTTTGACTGTTGTTTGACAGTAGACGTTAGTGTTTGGGAAGACTTCTGGTCTCGACTGAAGTTGTTGACATCGTGTGAAAATCCCCGGGCGGAGCCTGCTCGCATGATCACCGTACCGGTATTGTTCTAGAAATGCCTCGTCTTCCTCGTCCTCTAGCTCGTCCAGCTCGTCCAGATCCTTGTCTTCGAGTCTATTTTCATAAGCCTTGCGCTCCGCTTCGATCAGCGCCTCTTGGATCAACGGTTCGGGGTCCTTGGGCTTCTCCGGGATGATGCCATGCTTGCGGAGGATATCATTCCTGCGGGGGTGGGTGAGCCATGCAGTTGAGGGGGTGGTGGTCGGAGAGCTGCTGACCATTCGGTATCCTCATTGGGATTGACTTCGACTTGCATTGTGAATATTGCGTTCCAATGTATCTGAAGAACAGGTTGACACGATTCAACAAATGACATATGTTGGAGGGGCATATCTCAATGCCGCATGTTTGGGGTGTTTGCACCCAAGGGGGACAGCAGCCACACCGCCCTGTGGCTCAGCCACCCACAGAAACGCGGAAGGCCACCTGGAGATTGTGTTGGCCGCCGGGCAGGAACGAGGAGGAGCTGCGGCTGCTGCTGGCTGTTACTTACGGCTCCCGCTGCTGCTACCACTGCTACCACCACTACTACTACTGCTGCTGCTGCTGCTTCCAGTCTGGCCCCAAAACATCCTCCACCTCCTCCACCATCTGCCCTCTCAATTGTCCCTGTTGCTTCGCGACTTCTCCCTCGGGACGGGCACCATTTGCTGATTGCTTTCTTTTCAACTTCTTATTTTCTGTCTCTTCTTTCCTCCTTGGAAGGATAATGAAGGCGCCGTAGTGCTTAATCCACCGCCTGCACAACGTCCGAACCGTCATACGAAACCCGCCCTTATTCAAAGCCACCATTGATTGATCCATCCTTCCACATCCCCCCCCCCACTATCAACCACCCTCACCTCCTACGGGGCTTCCCCCTTTGCTAGTTTGAAGACCACAATATAATCATATTGCTGCTGCGGCAATCCCTGCAGCCCATCAGCCATCATGAGTTACGTTAAGAAAGATGAGGACGCCGACCAGACCATGATCAAGTTGGACCGGACCTCCGTATTTCAAGATGGTGAGCCTCTTCAGTCCTCTCTCATTGTGTTGCACACTCCTGCAACAGTCGCGTTCAATCTTGATATTTGTTACTGACGACAGTCTCGCACCACTTGCGTCGGATTAGCCCGCCTGTTCAATTCGTCCCCGATATCTCCTCGAACATGCCGCACTCTCCTGACCAAGATCGCGGTCCTCCTGTTCACTGGGGAGCAGTTCCCCACGAACGAGGCCACCACTCTGTTCTTCGGCATTTCGAAGCTGTTCCAGAATAAGGACCCCTCCCTCCGGCAAATGGTCTACCTGATCCTGAAGGAACTGGCAAACACCGCCGAGGATGTGATCATGTCGACCAGTATCATCATGAAGGACACGGCTGTGGGCAGTGATGTTCTCTACCGGGCGAACGCCATCCGTGCCTTGTGCCGCATTATCGACGTAGGCGCAGACCCTATACTCTGAATTACGAAAAAGAAGTAGCTGACCGTTGTCGAACCTATAAAGGCCACCACCGTGCAAGGTATCGAGCGATTGATCAAGACCGCCATCGTTGACAAGACCCCGTCGGTTTCCTCCGCAGCCCTGGTTTCATCCTACCATCTCCTCCCTATCGCGCGTGATGTCGTTCGCAGATGGCAGAGCGAGACTCAGGAGGCAGCATCTGGCGGCAAGCAGTCGACCGGTTTCCTTGGTTTCGGCGGCAGCTCCCAGTCCCACGCCATTTCGCAGTCGAACTTCATGACCCAGTACCACGCGATCGGACTCCTGTACCAGATGCGCTCCCACGACCGGATGGCGCTCGTCAAGATGGTACAGCAGTATGGTGCGGCCGGGGTGGTCAAGAGCCCTGCTGCGCTGGTTCTTCTGGTGCGATTGGCGGCCAAGTTGGCGGAGGAGGACCCTGGCTTGCGGAAACCGATGATGCAGATGCTTGATGGCTGGCTCCGACACAAGCACGAAATGGTTAACTTCGAAGCGGCCAAGGCTATTTGCGATATGCGCGATGTCTCCGACGCGGAGGCTTCCCAGGCCGTTCACGTCCTACAGCTGTTCCTGTCCTCGCCTCGCGCGATCACCAAGTTTGCGGCCATCCGCATTCTCCACAACTTCGCCTCCTTCAAGCCCCATGTGGTCAACGTCTGCAACCCCGATATCGAGTCGCTGATCTCGAACTCCAACCGCTCCATCGCCACCTTCGCCATCACTACTCTCCTGAAGACGGGCAATGAGGCTAGCGTCGACCGTCTCATGAAGCAGATCTCCGGATTCATGGCTGATATCACTGATGAGTTCAAGATTACCATTGTTGAGGCTATCCGCACCCTTTGCTTGAAGTTCCCCAGCAAGCAGGCCGGTATGCTGGCCTTCTTGAGCGGCATCTTGAGGGATGAGGGTGGTTATGAGTTCAAGCGCAGTGTTGTTGAGAGCATGTTCGACCTTATCAAGTTCGTCCCTGAAAGCAAGGAAGACGGTGAGCTTTCCCTTTATGTTTGCAACTGTGACTCAAGCTAATTAGTCTGCTAGCTCTTGCGCATCTGTGTGAGTTCATCGAGGACTGTGAATTCACTAAGCTGTCCGTTAGAATCCTGCACCTGCTCGGTGTGGAGGGTCCTAAGACGTCCCACCCGACCAAGTACATCCGCTACATCTACAACCGCGTCGTTCTGGAGAATGCTATTGTCCGGGCTGCCGCCGTGACCGCTCTGGCCAAGTTTGGCGTTGGCCAAAAGGATCCTGAGGTCAAGTCGAGTGTCTCCGTTCTTCTCACCCGCTGTTTGGATGATGTTGATGATGAAGTGCGTGATCGCGCCGCTCTCAACTTGCGTTTGATGAGCGAAGAGGACGAGAAGGCTTCCCAGTTCATCAGCAATGGTAAGTCATGCCTGGCACATCGCGGTCAGGTTCGAATTGTGCGCTGATGACTTCAGAATCGATGTACTCCCTGTCGACATTCGAGCATCAACTCGTGATGTACGTGACGTCGAATGACAAGCAAACATTTGCTGCGGCCTTTGACGTCTCCACGATTCCGATTGTCACACAAGAGCAGGCGTTGGCCGAAGAGCGGACGAAGAAGCTCACCAGCGCGACACCCACGCTCAAGGCACCCACCACCGGTCCCCCGAAGAGCAAGGCCAACGGAGTGGCCGAGGCTGCTACCGTGGCTGTTACTCAGAAATACGCCGAGCAACTCATGCAGATTCCCGAACTCAAGGAGTACGGCACGTTGCTCAAGTCCTCTGCTCCCGTTGAACTTACGGAAAGCGAAACTGAGTATGTCGTCACCGCTGTCAAGCACGTTTTCAAGGAGCACATTGTTCTGCAATACGATATTAAGAACACTCTCCCCGATACTGTCCTCGAGGACGTGACCGTGGTTACAGTACCAGAAGAGGAAGACATTCTGGAAGAGGAGTTCATTGTCCCTGCCCCCAAGCTTGCTACCAACGAGCCTGGTATTGTCTATGTCACATTCAAGAAGCTTGCTGGCGAGCACAGTGTCCCTGTTACTTCCTTCACCAACACACTCAAGTTCACCAGCAAAGAGATCGATCCCACTACTGGCGAGGCGGAGGAATCTGGATACGAGGACGAATACCAGGTCGAAGACTTGGACCTTACGGGCAGCGACTATGTTATTCCTACTTTCGCCGGCAGCTTCGACCACGTATGGGAGCAGACGGGTGCCAACGGAGAGGAGGTCAGCGAGACTCTTCAGCTCAGCAATATGAAGGGCATTGCAGGTAAGCACATACTTCCCGACAGCCAACTGAGAGCCATCCAAATGCTAATTGTGGGACAGATGCTACGGAACAGCTTATCTCCACCCTTTCACTGCAGCCTTTGGAGGGCACCGATGTAGCGCTCAGCAACAGCACGCATACCCTGAAACTGTTCGGCAAGACCGTGACCGGGGGCCGGGTGGCTGCACTAATCAAGATGGCTTTCTCCAGCAAGACTGGAGTAACGACCAAGATCACCGTTCGGGCGGAGGAAGAGGGCGTTGCCCCCGCTGTGATTGCGTCCGTTGCTTAAATGCCTGTGGCCAGTTGTGTAAATTCTTTTTATAATGGAGGCATGTTCTTGAAAAGGCGCGCATCTAATTGGCGACGAGTGCTGCATTATGAGATTTCGAAGTCCTACTCTTTTCTATATTTTCTCTTCGTTGTTGCTCTTCCCCTCCAACCTTCCTACTTTATATTCCACCATCAATCCGAATGTCTTCTTCTTTTCTTCATCTTCTATAACCCTGGTGTCAATTTTAGATGCGATCAAAATTCTTGATGTAGGCGTACCGATTCCGACACTTGGGCACTTTGTTGCTGTTAATTCTGTTCTTCTTTGACCAGCAACCAATATCAATTTTTTTTCTATGAATCTACCTTCTCATGCCTGATGTCCTCGTTTGGCTTAGTATCACAGCTCGCGTCCTAGTTTTTTATCGGAGGGAGGTAATCGCTGGGTTGCCATCATTGTAGACTGATGCAAAGCATCAGCCAAGTAACGGTCCTTAAGTTCATTCTGTAGTTCACTCAGGCATAGTCAGAAGAATGGAGCGAGAGTTTTATGTTTAGGACCGAGGTATATCTTCAATTTCTTTCTTCATAAGTAATGCAAGCTGGTGTAGTCAAGGCTCCGCAATGAATGAGTATACATACATACTATACGCAGCTATACTAGAAACTCTCTCAGATGGTAACTATACCTGAAATGTTTTGGTTTGTGTAATGTGTATGTAATGAGGGGCTCAAGGTCGAATAGAGGGGTAAGCGAATCTTGACAGACATTATGAATGGCGGGTGCTGAAGGAGGTTTCGATGGAAGAGTGGTAATTTTTCGGATGGGATTGTGGTACTTCATATTTTCTTTGGGGGTTGTTCATTCTTGGTTTGGGGGATGGGTTTGTTTGTAGTGTCAGATATATATTTGTGTAGTGTGGCGGGTGTTTGGGTTGTAGTGTGGTTTGGGTATATGTTGTAAATTCATGTATCGAGTTTCATGTGCAGACTTCATGGAGACTTGAGATCGATGAACACACCATGTGTTGGAGAGAATTGTACTGGGGGAAGTTCTGGAACGTTATGTTCAGAGAGTGAGGTTTTTGTTTCAAAGATAGTAGACACCAATATCATCGTCGTCGTCATCATCATCATCATCATCATCATCATCATTAACAGCTTCATTCTCATCGACAGATTTAGGTGGCGACGGAATCCCCCCGGCACCAATCTGATCACTCTGCTGTTGGTTTTTGGATTTCTTGGCAAACCGACTGCGCAACACCGCATCGATCTCCTCGACCTCCCCTCCCTTCAACTCCCACGCCTCGGAGAGCCCCACGGCCCGCACATGGGCCAGCCCGTGCTGCAACGCGTGCACGAGCGTCCCCGGCGTGAAGTACATAAGGCTGGCGGCGGTGTCCTCGGAGCACGGGTAGTCGAGCTCCAGCGTGCGCCAGGCGACGGGTTCGCGGAGGAGCTGCACGCGCTCATCCAGGTTCTCGAAGAAGGTGAAGTCGAGGGTGTCGCCGGGGACGCTGAGGTAGTCGAGGTCGGGCAGGGTGAGCGGGAGGCGGTTGACGAAGGTGAGCGAGAGGCTGTTGGAGGGGTCGATCTTGAGGCGGCGGAGGGTGGTGGGCAGGGTCGGGTCGGTGAGGAGGAGCGTCGTCAGCGGCGAGTTGTCGAGGTCCTTGCAGTTCTTCAGGATGAGGCTCGTCAGCGCCGGCGGCCAGCTGAAGTAGCGCGCTAGGGCCGGGTTGGCGCTAAAGTCGCCGGTGAGCTGGAGGTTCTGGAGGCGCGGGGGCCAGGGGATTGCGGATGTGGCTGTGGAGGGAGGGGTGGATGCCGGAGGAGGGGTGAGGTGGTGGGTTCGCGGGAGGCGGAGGGTTGTGAGTCTGGTGAGGTGGCTGAGGGCGCGTTTGAACTCGAGGAAGGGGAAGGAGTCGCCCACAAGGGAGAGGTCGAGGCTTTGCAGTTTGGTGCATTTGGAGAGGGCGGGGAGGCTGTTGATTCTGTTGGTTCGGTTGCGATATGAGTTAGTTTTAGGGGGGGAAGATGAGAAAGATCGGATGGGTTTTGAGGATGTAGGTTAGCCGTACGCAAATGATACACGCGGTGCAGAGAAGACGACCAGATTCTCTTTGACTTTTCCCAGGAGTCTGGCTGTTAGACTGGGAGAGCTGTGATGGACGAGGCCGCTCAGATCGAGTCGGCGCACATATGAGCCGAGCTTCAACTTGTTTTTGCGCGCAACATGGAGCGGAGGGCTGATGGTGGCTGTGAACTGGGTGAACGAGGAACCGAAGCGCAACATGGGTTTTTCATAGAGATGTGGAATGGCGGCAGAGTACCACTGTCGCGAAACGAGGCAGCATGCGTAGAGAGTTGCTTGTCGACGATCTGCTTTATCTGAAGTGTTGGAGACATAGGACATAATCTGCACGACTATCTCCGTGGGGAGATAGATCTCATGCGACGTAGAGGCGGTCATGATGGGTGAAGGAAGGTCTTTCCATAGTAGACTCTATATGTACATGTAATGATTCTTTGAAAATGCAAAAGAGAAGGGTGAAATTCGATGTTTGTTTATGCTTGCTGTGATGGTGAAGAGCGGAAATTGCGGAGGGGAGAAATTTGATGATATCATCTGAGCGATAAGGGAATCTCCCGCATTCTCCTCCGCCTTCGCTCTCCGCTTGTCCTCCACTGCTCCTCCTGTTCGTTCGGATTCATTAGGTACACAACCATTGAGCGTGGTTTTTCTCCCGAGCTGCTGTCAATTGCTATATATCAGACATAACAATCATATTCATCATGCAATTGACCTCCCTCCGGCGGTCCCTTGCGCTACTCCAGCGTGCTTCTACCCGGTCGTGCATCACTGCAAGCTCCGGTCGTCGGGCTATCCAGACCGTCAGCTCTCAAGCGAACATTCCCGACTTTGCCTTCGCATTCGAGTAAGATATAGAGAACTGAGAACGGGGAATTACGAGCTAACTCAAATGTTAGTATTGATGGCGTCCTTCTACGATCCTCCAAGCCCATCCCCGGAGCAGCTGAGTCATTGGCTTTGTTGAAGGAGCAGAACATCCCGTTCCTTCTGTTGACAAACGGCGGTGGAAAGCACGAAACGGAGCGAGTGGCTGAGATTAGTGAGAAGCTGAATGTTCCCCTGGACGCAGAACTGATCGTCCAGAGTCATTCGCCCTTCGCAGAGCTGGTGCATGGGACGGAGGGTCCAGGCCCCTTGGAGAACAAGTGCGTGTTGGTCGTGGGAGGAGAAGGCGACCGCTGTCGCCAAGTGGCACATCAGTATGGCTTCAAGAATGTGGTGACTCCTGGCGACATCTACATGGCAAATCCAGCCGTCTGGCCCTTTCGGTCGTTCAAGGACTACTACGAAAAGATCTCCAAGCCCTTGCCAAACCCGAAAGACCCTAGTGACCCTTCGAGGGGGCTGAAGATCGATGCGATTTTTGTCTTCAACGACCCGCGCGACTGGGCTCTGGACGCGCAGATTATCACCGACCTCTTGCTCTCCTCGCAGGGTGTTATCGGAACGCTTTCGGAGAAGAACGGCCGGACTGATCTTCCGAACCATGGCTATTTACAAGATGGCCAGCCGCACCTTTACTTCTCGAATCCTGACCTCTGGTGGGCTGCGAGTTACCATCTGCCTCGTCTTGGCCAGGGCGGATTCCGCGAATCCTTGGAAGGTATCTGGACGGCAGTGACCGGAGGTCCCGACAAAGGTGTGAAGCTCAAGAAGACCGTCATTGGCAAACCTTATCAAGGAACATACGAGTTTGCGGAGCGTCAATTGTTGCGCAACCGGGAGAGGATGTTTGGCGCCAAAGTCCAGCCACCCTTGAGAAATGTCTACATGATTGGTGACAACCCGGAGTCGGACATTTGCGGTGCCAACAGCTACCGCAGCGGACATGGTAGCAAGTGGCACTCCATCCTCGTTCGAACTGGTGTTTACAGTGGCGGTGAACCGACATGGACCCCTACAACCATTGTCGACAACGTTCGCAACGCGGTTGAGTGGGGAATCAAGAGCTCCCAGTGGCGGGCATGAAGGAAGAGTGAGCTGGCTTGGGTTTATCATGAACATGCTTAGCGAACTGCATATATTCTGCATCTATAGACTTCCATACTACCTCCCAGGTGTGATTAGCGACACACGTGTTAGACATTTATATAAATTGCTCAATTATCTTGATAAGAATGATACAGCGATATTGGACAGGGGCTAGTAGGGTAAAAGGGGAGCTTATTTAGCAGGCTGGTTTCTGGAGGTATACTTGATCTACTTGATTTAACTAACTATGCTATGCACATTACATAAGTTCTGCATATATATGCCATCCCGTCATCAGGTGATCTCCCCTCCTAGGGTTTAGGGCAGCGGGGTCCGTCGGGCGGGGTGACTCAAAAGAGAAAGTTGGAGCTCTGCGTGCTGGATGCTCTTATCTGGTTCTATCGCTTCTTTTCCACCCTCCTCACCCCATCCTCATCGCGCCCACACCCGTGATCATGGCCGACTCCGAATTGCCCACCCGCCCCAAGCCCGAGGAGACCCCCGCCGCCGCCGCGGACGCCCCCGCGGAGGGCGCGGAGCCCACCAAGAGCGCCAGCAAGAGCGCCGCCAAGAAGGCCGCAAAGGAGAAGGCGAAGGCCGAGAAGGCCGCCGCGCGCGCTGCCCAGGAGAAGGCTCAGGCTGCCGCCGCCGAAGCCAACGACACCGCCAAGGGCCTGTACGGCAAGCTCCCCGAGTCCGAAGATGTCCTCCCCGCGACGAGATTCTCCGAGATCACCGACGAGCACTACGAGAAGGAGATCACGGTCGTGGCCCGTGTCGATAATGCCCGTGTGCAGAGCGCCAAGCTGGCCTTCCTGATGCTGAGACAGCAGGGTCAGAAGCTGCAGGCTGTCATTGCGGCCGCGGAGCCCATCTCGAGACAGATGATCAAGTTCACCGGCGGTCTCAATGTCAACTCGATCGTCCAGGTGACTGGTATCGTCAAGAAGCCCGCCGTTTCGATTTCCTCCGCTACCCTGAGCGACCACGAAGTGCACATCCGCAAGGTCTACATCATCTCCGAGGCCGCCCAGATGCTTCCCATGCAGGTTAAGGATGCCGAGAGACCGCCCCCGGAGACGACGGAGGAAGGACCCCAGGTCGATGCGGACGGCGCTCCCATTGTCACCCTGAAGACTCGCCTTGACAACCGTGTCCTCGATCTCCAGACCGAGACCAGCCAGGCTATCACCTGGATCTCCAGCGGTGTGGCCCAGTTGTTCACCGAGTACATGATCAAGAGCGGCTCGCGGTGGATCTTCACCCCCAAGCTGGTGGGTGCTGCTACTGAGGGTGGTAGCAACGTCTTCGAGGTCAAGTACTTCAAGAGAAACGCGTACCTCGCTCAGAGCCCCCAATTGTACAAGCAGATGTGTATTGCCGGTGACATGGAGAACGTCTTTGAGGTTGCTCCCGTTTTCCGTGCTGAAGACAGCAACACCCACAGACACTTGACTGAGGTACCTTTTTTCCTAACACAATTACAAATGATTCATTCTGACTGTGTTTAGTTCACCGGTCTCGATTTCGAGAAGACTTTCCGCGCTCACTACCACGAGGTCTTGGAGTTCGCCGAGGACCTCCTCGTCTTCATCCTCACCGAGATCAAGGAGCGTTACAAGGACCAGATCGCTATCATCCAGAAGTCCTACCCCAAGGCTGGTGACTTCAAGCTGCCCAAGGACGGCAAGGCCCTGCGTCTTAACTACATGGACGGTGTTGCGTTGTTGAAGGAGGCTGGTGTGGACGTTTCCGAGCAGGAACGCTTCGAGAACGACTTCACCACGGCGATGGAGAAGCAGCTGGGCCAGATCATCCGTGACAAGTACGACACCGACTTCTACGTGCTAGACAAGTTCCCCATGGCCGTCCGTCCTTTCTACACCAAGGCCTGCCCGCAGGATCCTCGCTTCTCCAACTCGTACGATTTCTTCATGCGTGGTGAGGAGATTATGTCTGGTGCTCAGCGTATCAACGACATCAAGGAGCTGGAGGAGTCCATGGTTGCCAAGGGTCTTGACCCCAAGTCGGAGGGCTTCGAGGACTACCTCGCTGCTTTCCGCCAGGGATGTCCTCCCCACGCCGGCGGTGGTCTGGGTCTGAACCGTATTGTCATGTTCTTCCTGGGCTTGCCTAACGTCCGGTTGACTTCGTTGTTCCCTCGTGACCCCCAGCGTCTGCGCCCTTAGACGAATACCGAGAGAGACGACATTAGACAAGGATATCAACTGGATAAAACAATATAATGGAGTGACGAGATTATTCATCATTTTGTACTGGTCGTATTTTCTTTGTAGCATAGACAAGCGGAGGTCGGATGGCCGTACTGCATGTCACTCACTATAAGTAAGTTTCGGAGCCGAGGGAAAACTGCGGGTGGCCCAAGCTCCCTCTCCGGCGGAATCTTATCATCAGCGCCGCGTTAAATTCTCCCTCCCTCCGTCCTTCCCAAGTCCGCCTTCCAACAGCAATGTCCAGCATGCCCGACAAACGCAAACCGTCTATTTCAGCATCGGGTGCTTCGCCTTATGCAAAACGATCTCGCGCCTCGTACGCCGACGAGGAAGATGAAGAGGAGACGTCGCGGACGGTAACGCCTTATGAGCGCCCTCGCAACCATCCCGTCTATGGACAGAAAAGCGCCTTTCCCGGCCTCGACACCGCCGGCGACGACGAGCTGTTCTACGGACCGGCGGAAGATGGATTGGAATATCTGCGAATGGTCCGGTGGGTCGATGCCTGCTGCCTGGTTTAGTAATGTGAAGCTGTGTGACTGACATATGATAATATCACCTCCCAGATCCGAAGCCAATTCCCTCCCTTTTCTTTTCAATGCGCCACCAGCCACGACCTCGATCGCAACAGAGACTACGAACCCCGATGCCAGCACAGACACGACGAACCAAACAGAGCAGCCACATCCTCAAGCTACCGCTACTACTACAACTACCACTACAACAACAACCACAACCTCTCCCCCCGCTCTCCGCAAGGGAATCTACCAAGACGGCGTCTATTTCGTTCCCACCACCAACGACAGCAACCCCCCCGCCGGCCCTTCAACGACCACACCATCATCCCACCACCGCCCCCAACCCTCCGACCTGGAAATCCTCCCCGCCCAATCGACATATTACACCCTCCTGCATCACCGCTTCCTCCTCCTCCGCTCCATCCTGAAATGCACCCCGCCGCCCGACGCCATCGCCGCGCTGGACCACGACCACCCGATCTCGCTCCCGCGGCACTCCCGGAATGCGCGCCGCGAGTGGCGCCGGTTGCTGCTGGCGGTGGACCCGCAGACGGTGCAGCTGGCGTGCATGGACATGGAGAGCGTGCTCGGCGTGCTGGGGATCATGGCGCGTGTGATGTCGGAGAATGTGCGCAGCGGGGACGAGGAAAAGGTCCGGCGGATCGCGGCGTGGGCGTGGGGCCTGCTGGCGCGGTGTCGGGAGGTGGGCCAGTTGGGGACGGAGGAGGTGGGCGAGATTCGGGATTTGGGGAAGAGGGCGGTTAGGGTTTTGGGGAGGATGAGGGAGGTGGAGGTGGAGGATGGGAGGAAGGGGGGTGATGAGGATGAGGAGGAGGATGGGGAGGGGGAAGGAGAGGGAGAGGGAGAGGGAGAGGGAGAGGGAGAGGGTTTTGGTACAGGGAATGGGGTCGAGGGTGATCTGGAGATGCGGGATGCAGATGCAGACGCAGATGATAATGCGGATGCGATTGCTGACGCTGACGCAAGTGCGCCGCAAGCTGACCTTGATGAGTTAGAAGCTGCCAAGGCACGGTTACAGGCGAGTCTTGGAGGCGATGGCGCCGCTGATGATGAGGTACCGAACGACGATGCAGACGGCAACAGCGCTGCGTCGGAGGTGGCACTGCAGATTCGCGCGATGTTGGATATGGTCATCACGGTGGTCGGGGAGTACTACGGCCAGCGGGACTTGTTGCAGGCGCGCGAGTTCTGGAGGGAAGTGACGGAGTGAAGATGATCTAAGATGCATTTATTCTAGAGATACCCTGTTGCAGTTTGGTATTTCATTTATGGTTGTTCCAATGGACTATATCGGATCTCGGTATACTTAAGACTCACCGCCGATGATCGGCGGCCTCTAAATTAGCCTCTGCCAAACACAACAAACATCACCGGCAGAATGGGACCGGTTATCGTCATCGCTTCCAGTTCATCTCCACCGCTTCCTTATCTTCACCACCACTCCATTCACTCATACCTACATCAAGTTATGTTATCATCTCACCAACCACCGGTCTAAACTTCACTGAGTACAAGCCACCATGGCTCCGCCTGTAGAAATAGCCATCCCAACGACCAGCGTCTCCACCACCTCGCCCCCCTTCACAATCTACAACATCGCCCTCCGCCTCCCCCTCCGCTCCTTCACCATCTCCAAACGCTACTCCGACTTCACAACCTTCCACACCACTCTCCTCAACCAAACCAACACCGCACCCCCAGCCCCTCTGCCACCGAAATCCTGGCTCTCCTCGACCGTCAAGAACGCGACCCTCCGCGAATCCCGCCGCCAAGCCCTCGAAACCTACCTCCGGGCCATCAACGAAGCGGACGACCCGCGATGGCGCAATTCGCCCGCCTGGCGCGCATTCCTCAACCTTCCGAGCCTCGGCCCTAACAACTCCCTAAACGATCATCACAGTAGCAGCACGACGAGCGCGCGGCTCCACGCCGCCATCACGGACCCGGGCAGCATCACGTCACTCAACGGGGACGCTCCAAACAACACCATCACAGACCCCACCTTATGGCTCGACTGCTACCGGGACATGAAGGGCCATCTGCACGACGCGCGGCTGCACCTGACACGGCGCGACCAGGAGACCACGCCGCAGCGGCAGCACGAGAGCTCGGCGCGGGCGAAGAGCAGTCTTGTGCGCGCGGGGTCGCTGATCGGGGCGCTGGAGGCGGGCCTTAAGAACCTTTCCACCACCAACGGCCAATCCTCCGGTGAAGGTCTCCCCCGCCTCGGCGACGGCGAACTCCGCCGCCGCCGCGACCTGCTCATCAACGCGCGCAAGGAAAAAGACGGGCTGGAGGATCTGCTGAATGCGATGGCCGCCAAGAGCCGTATCGACTCCGCCGTGGCGTCCATCCAGGACAAGGAGGCGCTGATGAATCTCCCGGTAAAGGGCAAGAAGGCGGTGCGGGCGGCTGGGCGCGTGCTCGGGCGCGAGACGGAGCGCACGCGCGAGCTGGATAATACCGGAGTTCTGCAACTCCAAAAGCAGATGATGCAGGATCAGGATGGCGCCGTCGAGGAGTTGATGCGCATCGTGCAGCGGCAGAAGGAGCTGGGCGTCGCGATCAATAATGAGTTGGTCGTGCAGAATGAGTTGCTCAAGTTGACGGATGAGGATGCTACGAGGTTTGTTTCCTTTTTCTTTTGTTGTTACTGGGGGGGGAATGGGGAGAGGGGGGTTGTGTGTTTTGGTTGAAATGGGTCGCTAATTCGTGGGTTTGTTCTAGGTTGGGCGATAAGATTGATATTGGGAAGAAGAGGATTGGGAGGATCTCTTGAGTTGAGTCGAGTGGGTTTGATAAAGCTTTGGCCAGGGAATGGGTCTTTTTCGTTAGGACCTGGATCTGGGCTTTTGCATGGTGGATACCTTTGCATATGCATGGCTTTTATCTCTCTTGTCTGTTTTAGCGGATCCTGTTTTTGGTTGTTGTTGTTGTCGTTGTCTTGATAGCGATAACTCTTATTTCTTCTACTTGTAGTTACTGTACCAATGTAGTAAGCACCCAGCGCGCATGACATTTATGTGATATGACATGTTCGATGAATTCATTTGTGGATTTTCCATCCTATCTGAACCGCCCTAATTGGCAGACATAAACGCCTTGGCCTCCTCCTCCGTCACCTCCGACTGCTCCGACTGCAGCCGGTCGATCAGACCCAGCCGACTCCTGCGGATCAACCACCACAGCTCACGCCGGTCCCCGCCCAGCCGCTCCCGCAGGACCTTCTCCTTCAGCTGCCGCAGGAACTCGTTGTACAGCGCCGGCTCCTCGTAGGCCAGCAGCTCCTCGCGCATCGTGCCCAGCCCCTCCGTGACCCGGTCGTAGTTGGCGTCCCCCAAGCTATGGCGGATCTGACCCTCGAGGATCGCGCTCATCTGCCGCACGGCCTCCCGGATCGTCTCGATGTTCTCGGCCTGCGCCACCGCCTGCTTGAACTCCGGGATCGCGTTGTTCGGCGAGATCTTGCTCCGCTTCTCCTGGTGGAGCAGGGCGTCGACGTCCAGCCCCGAGAGCGGCTTTTCGGTCTCGCGGGTGCGTTTGCGGCCTTTGGCTTTGGGAGGGACTGGATTGTGTAGAAATTAGTGGGATGGAGAAGAGGGGACCCGGGGTAGAAAAGGGAGGTGCAAACCTTTCTTCACGCCGGCGACGGCAATGAGTTTCTCTAGCTGTGGCTGGGATTTCTCGATCAGGTCTTGGGGCGGGTTGGAGAACTTGGTTAGAGTTTCTGATGGCGGAGGGATGGGCTTGTCGGGGTGGATGGCTCGGAAACGGATTGCTGCGTCGGTGCGGTGTAGGACCGGAGAGAATGAATCCTCGATCGGGAGAGTGTCGACTGGTTCTCTGCAAGGGTGTTAGCCAGCGGCGATTGAGACTGGAACTGTGAGGTTTGTTGGGCCAGGCAGGTGGTCTTACCCGTTTTCATTCGTATCGTTCAGCTCCATGCCCAGCACGTATTTCTCCATCGCATCCATCAGGTCCTCGTTGGGTAGATTGCGATGCTGGGTGACCACTTTGCCGGACACGGTCAGGACCTTGTCGAGAGGCGGGAAGCGATACGTCCGGACGTCCTCGGCAAAGGGCAGCTGCGCCTCCAGGAGACATTCGTAGTCGGGCTCGATGGACGGGGCCAGCAGGACGACGATCGGCGGCTTGTTCTCCTTGACGACCAGGCGCGCCACGGCGTAACATTCCAGCTCGAACAGCGCGTGAATAAACGAGGACAGCGCCAGCGCGGCTTTGTCGTTCGCGCGCTGCGCGATGATGATGTTCGTCGTCGACATGTGCATGTACCGGTCATACTGGAAAGGTCCCGGTCAATATGTTGCCAGGCATACTGTACTGGGGTGAGGGGGGACGCACACGATCGCTCTGAATGAAGCCTAACAGCTCCAGCGCTGCAAATGTTTCGAGGGTCGTGATGTTCAGGTCGGTCTCGCTGATATGCACGGCCGTTCGGCCGTATTCATAGCCCTTGGCGAGATCTCCTAGCTCCACGTCTCGCTTCCCACCTGGGGCTTCCTCGTCGGGTACCTGATACGCTCGGAGGTTTCGGACATTCGTCAAAGAATTGCCATCCGTTGGCTGAGACTCCTGTGCCGCAGCGGCCGCGGTGGCAGAGGATTCGGGTTGTTCCTGGGAAGCGGCGAGGTCGGAGCGGAGAACGAATTGACTTGCCGATGGAGGCTTTGCGGCGTGTGTGCGGAAGTATCGCTCGACGGGGATGCGGAGCGCAGTGTCGTATTCCTCGGGATTCCCGAGCTGCAGGAATCCTTTGAAGGTTGCTGTTACTCGGACGCTTTTGACTCGGGGGATCTGCAGCTCCGCCACGGCCTGCTCGAGCGTTCCGTAGGTTCCGTCGCAGTCTTCGGCTAGACTTCGCAGGATCGCTTCATTCTCTGCCTGCACCGGGGTCAGTGTCAATTCCCCGACATTCTGATACGGAGGTTGACCTTTTGCGGATCTTTGTCTTCTTCTTTTACCCCGTAGTCCGGATCATCGAAGTCAGGGCCCCTATAAGGAGGTTAGCACGCATCATAGAAACAGGAGGAGCATCCGCCACGAACAAAATGATGAGTTCAATATTGTCCTCCTTGATCTTTTTTGTGATCTCACTGAGACTATCCGAATTCATCGGTCCCTTGCCGTCGGTGACGAGGACGATTCTGCGTTTGTACTTGAGTTTCTTGCAATGTATGATAATCATCTGGATCGCGAGCACGATGGCGGATATAGCTGAGCTCGTCAGTAGAAGGCCACAGATCTGGTCAGGGGAGAATGGGAGCATATACCGTCACCCTTGTTGGTTTGACTTGGGACGATCTTCTCACTCAACTCGCGAATATCAGGCATAAGGAACCTGTAATTCACCCAGTATCAGACAAAGGACTTCATCACCGCACTAGCAGCGCTCACTGTTTGATGCCCGAGAACACCGAGATATTTGCAAAGTCGGCGTCATCCTCCAAGTCATTCAAAGTATCTGTTTCAAGAATTAGTCCTGTCTTGCGTTGGCAACTTCGCTTCGTGACACTCACCGTCGGTGCGGAGCCCGATCACGCCTATTCCGGCTGTTTTACGTCCAGTGGCCACCTGCAAATTATTATGAATTTATGTCAAAGGTAGATGTTAGAACAGTACATACCGTCCCAGTGATCCGGTCCCAGACATATTGGATGGCCCATTCGAGATCCGTCACTTCTCGGTCATGGTATCGCTTCCCCATGGACCTCCCCAGGTCGACGATATAGACTGTTGCTTCTTTGTCCGCCATGGTTTGTGTGGCTACCAAGTTACATGTCTTGGATTTGCGAGTACTGATGAAGCTTGAGTTTTAAGTGCTTCAGCTAGAAGCGTAGGCAGACAAAGTAAGTCGACGCTGGTGAGCAGGCAGACGCGTGATATTTCCCCTTTGGGACGGAAGCGGAACGCGAAAGCACATGACATCATGTCCGCTGAGGTGCGTGTTCATTTGTGCGTGGGAGCTGTGTGTTGGTGGGAGGGTGAAGGGTGGATGTGGAAATAGAGGGGCGGTAGGAAAGGAGTATGGGGTGGCAATAAGCTATAACCGCCCGCCCCCCGCCTTAGATGCATCAGGCAACTTATCTGGTATCCTCCGGTCATTTCAATCCGAGGGCGCTGCTCCTCAGTACTTACACAACTCATAGCTTTTCCTCTTTCCCCACAAGCGTAGATAATTACTATATTACACAGCAACCGACAAAATGGTTGATCCCCGTCCATACCACGTTCTCAGGTTTGTACTCCAGGAAGCATCTATCCGAATGATCCGCTAATATCAAGGGTTACAGCTACGGCACCCTTTTGGGTGTGCAGATCTACCAGGTAGGCATACACATGCCGCCGCGGCTACCATAGTTCCAATGCAACGCACTGACAATTGGCATGAAAGTCGTTCGTGTCGGGAGTCATCGCGTTCAAAGCCCTGCCTCGTCCACAGTTCGCGCAGCTCCAGACGGCCACTTTCCCCATCTACTTCTCCCTCCAGTCCGCGCTCCCCGTCGTCGTTGCGTTGACGGCCAGCCGCGCGGGCCAGCTGCATGGCATCACCGGTCTTTTGGAGCCCGAGAACCGCGGCACGCTTCTTTCTATGGCGACCGTCGCCATCGCCAGCTTCGTCAACTTGACCGTCCTGCGTCCGATGACGGTCAATGTCATGCGCGAGCGGAAGCACCAGGGTAAGTTCTGCAATGACTTACTATTAGTTACTAAGCCGAGGCATCTTCCGCTGACGGTGGGTGCCAGAAACTCGCGACGGCAAGAAGAGCTATGATCCGGCTCCCCATTCCAAGGAGATGATCGCTCTCAACAAGAAGTTCGGCCGTCTTCACGGTATCTCTAGCTTGGTTAATCTGGTCTGCCTAGGTGCTACGGTCTACTATGGGGCTGTGCTTGGAAAGCAGTTGGCTTAGGTGTCTGACTTGCCTGATTTTCGCAAGGACATGGAGAGAGACATGGGGGGTGGGGGAAATTATTCCAAAACTAGGGTAGAGGCTGGTGATAGCATTGATGCTATTCACAACTAAGATCGAGTGGACAATGGCAAATCCATGAATGAGAGCAATGGTGTATCTATTCAAGGTTAGTACAATGGAACTAATAGTATGTAGTATTTCTCTGGTACACAGTGTCATAAATATGTTGACATCATTCTTTAATATTGACATATCATTGTACTTAAGTCCTGCAACAAACCGGTCTTAGCTGAGCAACACCGAACCATGGGGTGTGGTTACACCAGTTCGTTCTGCAGGGTGCCATACCTCGCAGTGGTGGTTGAATACGCGGGCTTTGTGGAAAGAGGGCCTGGTTTGGTTTCGAGCTGGATGCGAGCCAGACAAAATATGCGACGCTCGCGGCAGCAGTAAGAAGGCGTTTTTAGGGCGGGAGAAGGACGAAAGGTGCCAAGCGGAAACGGTTTTATTGCGCCTGTTCAATTTGTCTCAAGAAGTTATCAATGCTCCTGTCCTTTAGTGTTTTGTCATCTTGTTTCTGTGCTTCGGTCCGCGTCGTATACCTGCTTCTGTGTACTCGAACGCCTAAAGATGCATGTATGTGGTTGCTAGAACGGCGTCATACCCACGCAATGATAAATAACATATATTCTAGTTTAAGATTCCGCTCCTTTTCGACATGCATAACCGTACTGAGTCCTAGGGTATCAATATTTTTTTTACACTTTCCGCCAATCTATGCCCAAGCTCCAAAAACAATTCCAGAAATGCGCCCATCCAGCCACCGGTTCAGTTAGGAAGGTACTTGCGAATGGCATCTTTGAGCGCGCTGATGCGCCGATTAGTATGCACAAAGTACTCGCGGTACATATCCAGACTCTCCTGCACGACCTCGTGCCGCACCCGCGATCCCGCGCAAATCTCCCGCATGCGGGTTTCCATCTCCTTCCGGAGGAACGGCTTACTCAGGGACGGGTTGTTCGGCATGCCCGCGAAGACGTTGTCGTAGCCCTCGACCAGGGCGATGCCCAGCTGCGTGGGGATC